CTGTCGGGAAACATCTGGTTTTCGAAGTTAGATGCCAATTCTGCGTATTGGCAAGTCAAAATTAAACCCGAAGATAGGCATAAAACGGCTTTTATCACGAAATACGGATTATTCGAACATGTCCGTATGGGTTTCGGCTTGACCAATGCTCCTGCGACTTTCTCCCGAGTAGTCAATTTACTTATGAAGGGGTTGACATGGAAAACAGTTTTGGCATTTTTGGACGACATTTTGGTAATGGGGAAGTCCTTTGAAAATCATTTAGAAAATTTGAAAGAGGCTTTGGGAAGATTTCGCCAGTTCGGTATCAAATTAAAGCCAAAAAAGTGCGTTTTGTTTCAAAAAGAAGTTGAATTCCTGGGGCGGATTGTTTCTAATAACACCATGAAAATGAGCCCTAAGGATATTGAAGTTGTAACTTCTTGGCCACAACCCACTTGTTCTAAGGACGTTGAAAGGTTCTTAGGATTGGCAAATTATCACCGGACTTTTATAAAAAATTTTGCGGAAATATCCCATCCTCTGAGCAAAATTAAAGGTAAACATGCCTTTGAATGGGGACCAGATCAAGCTCAATCTTTCGAAGCGCTCAAAACGGCATTGACTACACCACCAGTCTTATCGTTACCAAACGCAAACGATCCGTTTATTTTAGATACCGACGCTTCAAATCACTCGATTGGTGCAGAGTTAATACAAGTGCAAAACGGCGAGGAGAAAGTAATTGCGTACGGCAGCTACGCGTTAACTCCCGAACAAAAGAATTATTGCACCACGCGAAAAGAGCTTTTGGCTATCGTGAGATTTACCAGACAATTCAGGTATTATCTTTTGGGCCGAATATTTACCGTTCGCACCGATCATTCAAGTCTGACGTGGTTACTGAGGTTTAAGGAGCCTCAAGGTCAACTCGCGAGGTGGATAGAAGAGCTTTCGCAATTCAATATGATCGTACAACATCGTGCCGGAGCTAAGCATAGCAATGCTGATTCGTTGTCTAGAATACCCGACAATTTGGCACCGTGTAACGAGTATATAGCGGGAATAAAGCCGGAAAATTTACCTTGCGGAGGATGTAGTTATTGCGTCAGAGCCCATGAAAACTGGGGGAGTTTTTTCGGTGACGTCGACGAAGCGGTCAATTTAACAGAAAAGAAAAAATTGTCATCCAAATTTACTGGTAAATCTACAAAAAGTCAACGCGATCTGACATCCTCATTAAATACAGTCAATCTGGGACGAGAAACGGGTCCGGAACATCTTTTCTATTGTCTCCTAGAAAAAATTGTAGCCCTCTCTACCGATGTCGCTCTGCAACCTGAGGAATCTCATGTAGAAATAAATGCGTGTGGTCCGGAGGCGAGGTCAAATCCAAACCCGGATATTCCTCAGTGTTGGGGTTTTTCTATGGAAAAATTAAAAACTGAACAAGCAAAAGACCCTGAGCTTAACATTTTACGAGAGTGGTTGTACAAAGGGAATACCCCAGATCAGGGTGCACTCTTCCGATCAAGCCCAATCTCCAAAACTTACTGGCTGAATAAAGAATTATTCAAATTACATCATGGAGTCATTTTCAAAACTGAAGAGGAAAGCAAAGATCTAAAATTAGTCATCCCAGAATCATTAAAAAATTCTGTTTTCAAATTACATCATGATATCCCTTCAGCTGGTCACCAAGGAGTGGCTAGAACAAAAACAAAAATCAAAGAAAAATTTTACTGGCCCCATATGAGCAAAGAAATAGCCAATTATGTCCTGAGTTGTGACATCTGTAATAAAAATAAGAAAAAAGGGTGTTACGGAAGAGTCCCCCTGACTGAATATGTTGCAGGTGCTCCGATGGAACGGGTTCATATTGATTTCTTGGGACCGCTACCTAAAACAGCAAAAGGTAATGAGCATTGTTTGGTCATGGTTGATCAATTCACAAAGTGGGTAGAGTGCGTACCGTTGCCTTCTCAAACGGCTGAAGTTACCGCGAAAGCAGCAATTGACTGTTTCTTTTCTAGGTTCGGTTATCCCTATCAACTTTTTTCTGATCAGGGACGGAATTTTGAAAGTCAATTGTTCGGGGATTTGTGTAGGGCTTTACATATACACAAATCACGCACTACTCCGTACCGACCGTCTGCAAATGGACAGGTTGAAAGGTTCAATCGTACCCTGATGGATGCCGTACGGTGTTTTTTGGGTAAAAATCAGGGTGAATGGGATAAATATGTCCAGCAAATTGCAGGCGCGTTGCGTGCTTCTGTAAACAGAAGTACGGGGTATACCCCTAATATGCTCATGCTTGGGAGGGAGGTCAGTACTCCAGCCCAAATTATGTTCCCAAATCTGAAATCAAAAGAAACTGACTATGGTGAATACATTTCAAAGTTAGTACAAAAAATGAAATTAGCTCATATTACAGCAAGAGCCAATTTAAAAACAACTTCAAAACGCATGAAACGTGACTATGACCTTAAAATCCTGCTTAGACCTTATGCTGAAAAGGATTTGGTTTATGTTTTGGATACAGCAACAACTAAAGGCAAATCACGAAAATTGTGTTCACCATGGAAAGGACCCGCCATCATTGTAAAGAAATTATCTGGCTATCTGTATCGAGTGAAGCTAAAAAATGCAATCTTTGTAATTAACCATGACAGGCTCATGCCCTGTAGGGACAGAAATGTACCCTCATGGATTACAGAATATTTAGCTTCTGATGAACAATTTCAGCACTCGAGTAACAGTGAGGAAGAAGATTTGACACCATACTGTATTTGCAGGGAGCCTTATCAGGGCAGATTCATGATTCAATGTGACTATTGTCATGAATGGTATCATGGATCCTGCGTCAATGTCACTTCTACCGAAGCGATAAACATTGATAAATACAAGTGTGTAAAATGTCAAATCTAATAATTATTTTTCATTGTTATTACAGATATGGCCGATACTATCACGGAAGTAGCACCTGTTGTGAAGGAGACTTCACACAGACTTCACACAGATTACAGCATTGTTCACCTATAGATGTCCCTGGAACCCAGTTTGTCCAGGATTTGGCCCAGGCTCTGCCTGGGGAAGATCACAGCAGCTACTTCAAAACACTGGTGGCTGGGATGGCTACCATTTATAAAAAGGAGCTTCGTGCTCCCGGTAGGTATGCCATGTCTCTGGCATGGTTGCAGCAAGTGGCCTACCAACTACAATCTAGTGGGCTTGCGTCTAAAAACTGGATTGAGAAGAATGTTTGGCGCCTTCCCAAAAATTTCACCCCTCCTGCACGAGTTTTGAAATCTGCTCCCTCCGTGGAGTACGATGGACAAAAAACTCGTGATTTCAGGCTTGGGAAGGACCCAAACATTACACTCATAACCCAGGTGGTCGATGGGAGTGGCACGGTCCAGCCTATGGAGGTGGAATCGCAATTGGATGAGGCTGAACTTGGTGTGGGGTCAAGTAACATCGACCCCAACTCCAGTCTGGACTCCATTGAGGAGGACAGACTTCTTGGAGTCCCAAGGGAGGCCAAATCCAGCGTGAAACCTCCAGCTACTCCGGAAACTCCTATGCCAGGCGCATCACTGCTGCAAAATACCGCCATCCCTTTTAACTTTTCTATCTCCTCTTCTTCAGGTTCACACCTCCCTGAAGCTGCTGCTCCAACAGGGATCCAAGTTCCTGTTCCTGGGCCTGTACCATCTGAGCCCATGGGGGGCAGTAAGCGTAAGGGGAAGAAGAGAGCTCCTTGGTGGAGGCGTGGCAAGAAACCTGGCAAGGGGTTGGTTGCTGCAAAGTCTGGGGTGGATGGGCATGTTGAGTCAGCGGAGCTGTCTCATCCTACAACCAGGGAACCGAAAAGGTCTAGCCAGACACCATCCGGAGTGGTTGGACCTGACCCCAAAAGGGCCAGGAAAGATCACTCCGAGATGCAATGTGTGGTCCCTGGGTGTGGGGTGAAATTCAATGAGCAGATGCTCAGGCAGCATTCGCTGGGGCTGCATGTCCCGTCTATCTTTGATGAGCGCGCCAATCCTGAGCCCAACATCTTGGGTGTAATGGTTAAAGCACTGGAGATGCTTACTTTCTTCATTTTTGGTTTTAAAAAAGAACTGGACACTTTATACCAGTTCATTTCGGCTCTTCCAGATAAATTAAATTTAGCCCATGGCACTTTTTCTTCAATCCAAATTACTGCCATGGAAAATTTCTGTAAATTTCTCAATAAACCGGTCCCAGTGCGTTTCACCTTATACCCAGCTAACTCTGTCGGGGTCCTGGTGGATTGGAGAGTCCTGACACAGCTGTCTGCTTCTATAACGGAGCAGCAGAGGTCGTTGTGGATTCAAGGGTTCACCAGGCCAGAAACTTGTCTGGAGGCGGGGGAACAAAGTAAGTCAGGGAGGCAAGCTTTCGATAGTCACTATCATCTAGATAGAACCCTGGCTGCCTTTGGTCTTCCATACTCTGGCAAGTTAGAGGGTCTTAAGGGTTTGCTTCCTGTTTGCTCTGGGAAAGAGGTAGAGTTGGTGGGAACTGTAGCTATTTACTGCGATCCCAAGACATATCCTACTAAGGGGTATCTTTCCACTCTGTCTGGGATCGAGTATGTAGCTATTGGTTTTCACCCGAGGCTAGCCGGCAAGCTTTCTCAGGGCAATCTGGACCAGGCAATTAAGGCTTTCTCAGAGTTGGTTAAGATGCCGCTAGTAACAGCTTTTGGCGAGGTAGGTTTCGACCACACTGAAGCCATGTCTAAATGGCAGGATCAGGTTGAGTTGCTCCACAGACTTCTGCCTTTTCTAGAGGCCAGGCATGTCCTGGTTGTGCACTGTAGGGGAGTGAGGGGAGACTCTGGAGACTGTGAGTTCGCCATAAGATCTCTTTTGTTTCATCTGAAACTGTGTGGCGTTCCGCAGTCCCAGAGGATCCATTTTCACTGCTTTACAGGCACTAAGGCCCTTCTCGAAATTTGGGGAAGGCAGCAACCAAATACCTTTTTCGGTTTCACCCGGGTTGCTGCCACCTTTAACAAACACCAGTTGGCAGCACTTAGGGCGGTGCCCGACTCCAAACTTCTTTTGGAGTCGGATGCCCCCTATTTCGCTCGCAAAAAGGGGGGCCATTCAACACCCTTTATTCTCTATGAAACGGCAGAGATATTGGCGGGGCACAGAGGGGTGGATGTCTCTCATATTTTAAAAATCACTACACAAAATGGTACTTCCTTGTATAAAAGGGAGTAACCAGGAATTTGGAAAATAATATTGAAAATATGACAAAATTACTTTTTTTTTGGACAATTTAAAAATTTCTAGAAAATTATGAAAACTATTTTTTCTTAGTACTTACTAAATTCAAATTTCACTGAAGCCCCTCTCCTCTTCCTGATCCGGGAGATCATCGGAGCTATGAAAGTTACCATCAGTGGGCCCCTAATTTCCTGTTTCATTTCTTTATTTGATTATCATTCATTATTTATTTATATATCATTTACAGATACAAAGATGCACAAGAGCACAATGGCACCTGTAGAACTTATATATATATATCTATCACTTGTCAAGTTATGTACACAAATATGTGTATTTCAGAAGCACGTATTGCATTATTGTGCATTCTATTGCAGAACCAATACAGCACCGCAGCACAGTTTATTACTCTGTACTAGGTACAGTGCACCAGCACAAGTGTTTATTTATTTCTATTTTATTATTTATTTAGTATTCTGATCTTCCGCCAAATCCTAGGAATGTCCCCAAATTTTTTATTTCATTTTTTGGCTTTCCAGTATTTATTTTTGTGGATAGACTATCACTGTATCAGTGATGTGACTAACTGCTGAATCAACAGTTGTCACAGTTTAATCCTATATTTTTTCTCGTCAGACTATCACTTCGGTGATGTTGTTAACATTAACGTCAGTCTGATCGAGGCTGGAAGCCATTGTTATTGAAAAATATTTTTACATGTTTAAACATGTATTGTTATTACTGGGAAAAACTTTACCTTTTTTCGGCTCTTTTTAATAAAAGTGGGGGGAATGTTGTGATCGGAGTTTTTTCCTTCCTCCACCTGGTCTGCTCTTCATGTGCCAAGATAGGCCACCTCAGGTGAGTGAGTTAGGCCAGGTGGGGACAGCACGCCCCCTGCAGGAGATCGTCACTATTGTGACATCACAACTGTCACAGATCATTGTCTAAGATTCTGCACTCCGTACCGGACGTGTCCAGATTGACGATCGCCAGAAATATTCTATCAAAGAGCATAACAATAGACAGCGATCACTCACCAATTCAGTAAGTAGACACAGTGAATACTTTAGTATTTTCAGTGCTTACGTGTGTGAATTGTTATATAAAGGAGACGTTGGTCTCATTCCCCTGTGTGTTGTTATCAAAGCTGAATTTACCACAAGACTGAGGTGCACACGTAATATTTTAGTTTCTTTGTTTCTTTAGTTTATTTGAAAGAATAAAATATTGACTTTAGTGTTGTTGTTGATTATTCTTTTGTATTTTAGATAGGATTCTGAACAGAATTTCTGTCTAAATTCAAATTATTGCGTTGTGTGCCGAAGTCTTTCTTCCCCGAATTTGAATTAAATGTACGTTTTTGGATTCTATTTATAGTGAATTTCACTATAAGCTTGGTAGTGTATTGTGCTTTGATAGGTGAAATTATTTTGAATCAATTTAATTCTCGCTTACAAATGTACAATGGCGAGTGCATCAAGGTTGCCAATCAATCGTGCGACTTACGATGAGCTCGTTACGCTGCCGGGTATAGGTCCTAAACGTGCAGAAAGGATAATATACACTAGAGAGCAAGGGATCCCCGTGACCAGATCCAACATTTTGGAAATTTGTGGATCCAATACCGGAACAAATAAAATCAAAAATTTCTCTTTTGGGGGTACTCACAGCAGTGAATTAGGATCTGAAGTCAACATGGGTGACCTAGACCCTAGCGTATTATCCACTCAAAAAACTCATTACACAACTTCTAAAGTGACTTCCTACATTCAGCATGAAGGAAGAGCAGCTGCTGAGAGATATAGGGTGGAATTTGAAAAAATTCTCAAACTGGGTGAGAAAATTCAACACCAAGAACAAATTTCTCGCAGTAAAAATGTAAAAAACGCTGCTAATTATTCACCATCGACATATTCTAAATTAAAATCTTGTTCAAAGTCACATTTTCACTCAGCTATTGACCCAAAATCTTTCACATCGCAGCCAGCCACTTTAGCCTCTGAATACATTTTTGCTCTGCCTATTGAGAGGCTGCATGCCAATAACAAAGATTAAAAAGTAACATCATCTGTGCATGCAAAGTCTCCAGGCCGCGTCATGAACCCTGATACTGTTACTTCCTTGCCGAATGGTAAGGACAGTAGTCGGCACTTTGCTCCGTCTGTCCATAAGGGTGATGTGAATTATGATCTGTATCAGTTTCATGTTCCTAAACCCGGACGGCGGCAACGACATGTTGAGCAAAATTTTGCTGATACAGTTCAACAAAATCATGATTACCGGTCTAGTTCAATAGGAAAACATTATACGCGACCTAGAATCTCGTCTCCCGTTTTCTGTGACGAACCACTAATTTATGAAAGGGATAACAGTGAAAAAGAATACTTTCGGCTACCCAAACCAGAAAAAGTAGGTCCAAAAAGTAAAAAGGACAGAGTAGACCCCAGTGATTTACCTAAACAATTATCGTTTGACAGAAACAGTGACGACTGGGAGTCTTTCAGAAAAAGATATGAAAGTTATCTCCAGATAAAAGAGTGGTCAGAAAACGAGTGTCTGGACTACCTTCTGTGGTGTCTTGAAGGCGAGGCTTTGGCACTGTATAATAGCCATCTCAGAGCAAATAAAAATGTGTCGTACACATCTATAATGAAAGAAATGGACTTAGTGTTCGGGATTAAAAAACATCCCGATTCGGCTCGCCTGGCATTTCATACTGCCGTTCAATCGCAAAACGAAACGCTAAACCAATGGCTGTGCAGCGTTTTGTTATTGGTCAGAGATGCTTATCCTGATAAATTGGAGTCTTTTAGGACAAAAACAATATCAAAATTTTGTCAAGACTGTATTGATCAGGATGCTGGGCGTTATACTAGTTTAAAGCGTCCAGCAAGCATCAGCGACGCAATAACACATATGGTGGACTATCAACATGTTTGTAAACCCACGAATAGTCATAAACAAACAAGAAAAATTCGTGAAAAAATTCAAATACAGTATGTTCTCTCAATCTTACAGCTAGAGAAAATCAACAATCTCCATCTGAAAATGTTGAAAAACTTGTTGAGTCCATCATAGAGAAACGCGTTAGCCAGCAGCCAAAATTGAGCACAATTCAATTTAATTCAATGGCTGACTTGGAAAAAATGGTTGAACATTTGGTCAGGAAGTCCACACCTAAAACATCAAGTGTGTGTTTCTTCTGTAAAAGAAAAGACCATTTTAAAAGAAATTGCCAGAAATATAAAGAGTTCTTAAAACGAAAAAATACTGAAAAAGAACTTGAAAAACAAGAGCGAGCGGATAACGCTGAGTCATTTAAACTTAAGGTTCGAGCATCGAGTACATGTTCAAATACACTGTCTCAAATGCATGGCACAGAAAAACCTCACCTAGTAGAACAATCATTGCAGCAAAATCAATGTAGGGGCGTAGAGTGGGAGTCTGACCCTAGTATTGATCAAAATCCTCGGCTTTCAGACAATTTTTCGTCCATTAAGTGGTCTCGGGTGTAGATCAGTGGAAAACAGGACGTGGGCGCGCAAATTTCTGTAATGTCAGGGAGAGTGTATTGCGTGCATTTAGGTTAGCCACCAGTTTTAAGTTATATTGACCTACTATCTCTTGCTGCAGGGAATTGGAAATTTGGAAATACAGGTTTGCGACAAAATTTAGTGGTGAGATTAACTCTCGTACATGTAGTACCAATGACGGTTAAAAATTGAATGCATATGTTCAGTGCAACTAAAGTTTTCTGCAAATTGACGAAAAAGATAAAGCGGGACAAAGGATTCGCAGATCAAAGAAATAAGAGTAGCACCAGTACGTATAAAAAAAAGAAAAGAACAGTGGTAACCCCAAAAATCGGAACATGATTCCATGCGAAATCGATAAAATGGCTGAAAGGTAGTCATGGAAAGAAAACGAGTAAAATGGGGTCACTGATTCAGAGAATGGTGCTGTCCGAAAATTCCGCTCAATAAAGAAAACTTCGTGTGGTAAAGTCATGTGGTAGCTACAGTAGCAGATGACATTTTGGAAACCTCTAAATTGGATGGGTATAAGCTTAGGGGGTGGATTGTAAAGTTAAAAAAAAAAANTGCTTACAAATGTACAATGGCGAGTGCATCAAGGTTGCCAATCAATCGTGAGACTTGCGATGAGCTCGTTACACTGCCAGGTATAGGTCCTAAGCGTGCAGAGAGGATATATGCTAGAGAACATGGGATCCCGCTGACCAGATCCAACGTTTTGGAGATTTGTGGATCAAATATTGGATCAAATATAAGCAAAAATCTCTGTTTTGAAAGTACTCACCGAAGTAAATTAGGATCTGAAGTCAGCATGGGTGACCTAGACCCTAGCGTATTATCCACTGAAAAAAGGCATAACACAACTTCTAAAGTGACTTCCTACATTCAGCATGAAGGAAGAGCGGCTGCTGAGAGATATAAGGTGGAATTTGAAAAAATTCTCAAACTGGGTGAAAAAATTCAACACCAAGAACAAATTTCTCGCAGTAAAAATGTAAAAAACGCTGCTAATTTTTCACCATCAACATATTCTAAATTAAAATATTGTTCAAAATCTCATTTTCACTCAGCTATTGACCCAAAATCTTTCACATCGCAGCCAGCCACTTTAGCCTCTGAATACGACATTTTTGCTCTGCCTATTGAGAGGCTGCGTGCCAATAACAAAGATAAAAAAGTAACATCTTCTGTGCATGCAAAGTCTCCAGGCCGCGTCATGAACCCTGATACTGTTACTTCCTTGCCGAATGGTAAGGACAGTAGTCGGCACTTTGCTCCGTCTGTCCATAAGGGTGATGTGAATTGTGAGCTGTATCAGTTTCATGTTCCTAAACCCGGACGGCGGCAACGACATGTTGAGCAAAATTTTGCCGATACAGTTCAACAAAATCATGATTACCGGTCTAGTTCAATAGGAAAACATTATACGCGACCTAGAATCTTGTCTCCCGTTTTCTGTGACGAACCACTAATTTATGAAAGAGATAACAGTGAAAAAGAATACTCTCGGCTACCCAAACCAGAAAAAGTAGGTCCAAAAAGTAAAAAGGACAGAGTAGACCCCAGTGATTTACCTAAACAATTATCTTTTGACGGAAACAGTGACGACTGGGAGTCTTTCAGAAAAAGATATGAAAGTTATCGCCAGATAAAAGAGTGGTCAGAAAACGAGTGTCTGGACTACCTTCTGTGGTGTCTTGAAGGCGAGGCTTTGGCACTGTATAATAGCCATCTCAGAGCAAATAAAAATGTGTCGTACACATCTATAATGAAAGAAATGGACTTAGTGTTCGGGATTAAAAAACATCCCGATTTGGCTCGCCTGGCATTTCTTACTGCCGTTCAATCGCAAAACGAAACGTTAAACCAATGGCTGTGCCGCGTTTTGTTATTGGTCAGAGATGCTTATCCTGATAAATCGGAGTCTTTTAGGACAAAAGAAACAATAACAAAATTTTGTCAAGACTGTATTGATCAGGATGCTGGGCGTTATACTAGTTTAAAGCATCCAGCAAGCATCAGCGACGCAATAACACATATGGTGGACTATCAACATGTTTGTAAACCCACGAATAGTCAAAAAGAAACAAGAAAAATTCGTGAAAAAATTCAAATATGTTCTCTTGATCTTACAGCTAGAGAAAATCAACAATCTCCATCTGAAAATGTTAAAAAACTAGTTGAGTCCATCATAGAGAAACGTGTCAGTCAGCAGCCAAAATTGAGCTCAATTCAATTTAATTCAATGGCTGACTTGGAAAAAACGGTTGAACATTTGGTCAGGAAGTCCACACCTAAAACATCAAGTGTGTGTTTCTTCTGTAAAAGAAAAGACCATTTTAAAAGAAATTGCCAGAAATATAAAGAGTTCTTAAAACGAAAAAATACTGAAAAAGAACTCGAAAAACAAGAGCGAGCTGATGACGCTGAGTCATTTAAAAATAAGGTTCGAGCATCGAGTACATGTTCAAATACACCGTCTCAAATGCATGGCACAGAAAAACCTCACCTAGTAAAACAATCATTGCAGCAAAATCAACGTAGGGGTGTAGAGTGGGAGTCTGATCCTAGTATAGATCAAAATCCTGGGCCTTCAGGCAATTTTTCGTCCATTAAGTGGTCTCGGGTGTAGATCAGTGGAAAAGTGGACATGGGCGCGCAGATTTCTGTAATGTCAGGGAGAGTGCATTGCGCGTATTTAATGTTAGCCACCAGTTTTTAGTTGTATTGACCTACTATCTCTTGCTGCAGGGAATTGGAAATTTAGAAATACAGGTTTGCGACAAAATTTTGTGGTGAGATTAACTCTTGTACATGTAGCACCAATGAAAGTGGAAAATTGAATGCATATGTTCAGTACAACTTAAGTTTTCTGCAAATTGACGGAAAAGATATAGCGGGACGAAGGATTCACAGATCAAAGGAATAATAATAGCACTAGTACATATAGCGAAATGAAAAGAACAGTGGTATTCCCAAAATCGGAACATGATTCCATGCGAAATCTATAAACAGACTGAAAGGTAGTCTGAAAAGAAATAAAGAGTAAATTGGGGTCACTGATTCAGAGAATGGTGCTGTCCAAAAATTCCGATCAATAAAGAAAACTTCATGCGATAAAGTCATGTGGTAGCTACAGTAACAAATGACATTTTGGAAACATCTAAATTTGATTGGTATTAACTTAGGGGGTGGATTGTAAAGTTAAAAAAAAATAATAATAAAAACCTGTGCCTGCATTATCAGTTACAAAGCTGATGAGACAACATGTACCGATGTATATCGAATCTTAAAATACGCTTGTGGGATAAAACATACTAGTGGAGGTTTTCATTCACCCTCCTATAACTGGTTACATCCCTATAACAAGTGTACACCCGAACCAAGACCTAACTTGTGGGATTAAATTCTGCAGGGGTTTCAAGTGTTAATTCCCCTAATTTCGAGAATATCCCTAGAACAAGTTACCGATTGAAAAGGACTAAATGTCACAGACTCTGAAGGTGGGTGGAAGCACTAAGGGCCCTTCAAGTGCCCCATTCACTGGAAGACGTTTGTAAAACTAAAAATTAACACAAAACTACCGGTAGTATAACATCTTTCAAGACTCCAAACATCGGGAGTCCAAATTTAAATAAAAATGCTGGTGACGTTCACATCGGGCTAGACTCTTCGGGTTGCGTGTCTCTAGTAAAACAGGTTATCCCTGGACATCTGGAAGTGATGTTTAAAGTATCTAAAGGGAA